TTCCCCCCAATGGCCAGTGTCTTCCCAGTGGCACCAGAGAACCAGCTGCCCTGGAGCTGATCCTCACTCTGCCAGCTCTGGGCACCTACTCTGTGCCAGCATCTGGAGAGGTCACTTCCTTGCTCTAGATGTCCGCCAAGGGCACATCTGCTGCTCTCTCTCTGCCCAGTTAAAAGTTGCCCAGTGTTTTCTGTTGCTTTTAAATAAAGGTGAGAGACTCTTTAAGATGGCCCACAAGGCTCTCTAGGGTCTGGCTTCTGTCTCCACCCCCTTCCTGTTCTCCTCTTTACCTTTCTTTCATCCTGGTGCATCCTCACACATCTCCATACCTGTCAAGCTCCTGCCATAGGGCCTTTGCACATGTCACCCCCTAGGATCTGGAACATTCTCCCTTCCTCTCCTCCTCCTCCTCCTCCTTTTTTTCTCCCTCTTTCCTCTTCTTAGTAAGAGGAAATGATTTAAAAATTTAGAAGAAAATAAAGATGCAAATTTATCTTATTCATGGGTTTGAAAAGAGTTTTCAAACAAAACCCCAAAGAAGTTACAAAAGAAAATATACATTTGGCTACATGCAATTTGTGTGCAAATATAGGATAAAATTTTACCATCTGCATATAACAAACTATTCTTTTGCACTGACAACAAAGGAACTGAAATGTTACCACTTGCTCCAAACTACCAACAGTTCTTCAGCTCTGTTCTACTTTTTTTTTTTTTTTAATGGAGGTTGGGTTGTGGCTCAGTTGGTAGAGAAATTGCCAAGCATGTGTGAGGCACTAGGTTTGATCCTCAGCACCACATAAAAATAAATAAATAACATAAAGTTATTAAAAATGATAAAAAATGGAGGTCAAATTCACATACTATAAAATTCATTAAAGCATTCAATTTAATGGTTTTTAATATATCACAAAATTGTGTACCCATCACTACCTCTGGATTCCAGAACATTTTCAACACCTCCGAAAGAAAGCCCATGCTTATTAGTTAGTAACTCTCAATTCCCTCTTTCTCCTACTGATGACAACCACCAACCTACTTTGTCTCCACAGATTTGCCTATTTTTTTTTTACCATTTCATATAAGCAGAACCATATGTTAATGATCTTCAGTATCTAATTTCTTTCAGTTAGTATGATATTGTAGTGTGTGTCAGTACTTTACACCTTTCATGACTAAATAATATTCCATTGTGTGGACATATGCCACTTATTTGTACATTCAATTGCATTTCCCTAATAACTAATGTTGTTGAGATCTTTTTGTGTTATGTTGGTATATATTTCTTTTTTTAATGTTTATTTTTTAGTTTTAGGTGGACACAATATATTTATATTTATGTGGTGCTGAGGATGGAAACTCAGTGCCTCACGCATGCCAGGTGAGCACGCTACCACTTGAGCCACAACCCGAGCCCTATATTGGTATATGTTTCATGGCCATTTGTACATCTTCTTTGAAGAAATGCCTGTTCCAATAGTTGCTCATATTTTACTTGGGTTATTTGTCTTATTGTTGTGTTGTAAGAGTTCTTTGCATACTCTGATTAGAAAATATTTTCTCCCTCTATGTTTCTATATTCACTTTCTTTTCAAGAATCAACTCTTGGTTTATTGTTTTTTTTCTAATGTCTTCCAATGATTTTTGTTCTCATCCCTATCATTGCCTTGGGTTTGGTTTGCTCTTCTTTTTCTAATTTCTTTTCTTTTCTTTCTTTCTTTTTTTTAGAGAGAGAGAGAGAGAGAATTTTTTTAATATTTATTTATTTATTTTTTTAGTTTTTGGTGGACACAACATCTTTATTTTATTTTTATGTGGTGCTGAGGATCGAACCCAGTGCCCTGCGCAAGCCAGGCGAGCGCGGCTACCGCTCGAGCCACATCCCCAGCCCTTCTAATTTCTTAAGATGGAAAATTGTTATTGACTTAAATCATGCACAAGAGGCAAGAAGTCTACCGATTGAGCTATATCTCCAGCCCTCTTTCTTTTTCTTCTTCTTCTCCTCCTCTTCCTCCTCCTTATTCTTCCTCTTCTTCTTCTTTTGAGAAAAAGGAAAAAGGTTTATTGCTTTGCTAGCAAAGGAAAAACACAGGGGCACTTGTCCCAAAAGCTGTGATTTTGCCCATCAGTAAGAACAGGAGGCTTTTATCTCTTTCTTCTTTTTAATGTGGACATTTACAGCTCTGTATGCCTTGCTGCATCCTATAAATTTGACATGTTGTGTTTTCATATTCTTTCATCTCATATTATTATAGCCATCCTAGCTCTTCTTTTGGTTATTGTTTCTATGGCAAATCTTTTTCCACTTTTTAATTTTCAACTTGTCTTAGAATCTAAAATGGGTTTCTTGTAGACAGCTATCGTTGGGTCATTTGAAAAATGTACTGCCAGTTTATGTAACATATGGTATATGTTTCATGGCCTTTTGTACATCTTTTATGTATAAAGTTTAATACATTTACAATTAATGTAATTTCTGATATGAAAGTATTTATTTCTGCCATTTTGTGATATATATACATATATATATATATATATATATATATATATATATATATATATATTTATTTTTTTTTTTTTTTTTTCCTTGCAGTGCTGGGGATTGAACTCATGGCCTTGCACAGGCTAGGGAAGTACGCAACCAGCCCTTGCTAGTTGTTCATTGTGACTTACTTAAAAAATATTTTTCAATTCCTCCATTGTTTGCTTTTGTGTTAAAGACATTTCCTAGTGTACCATTTTGATTCCTTCCCTCCCTCCCTCCCTCCCTCCCTCCTTCCCTTCTTCCCTCCCTACCTTTGTTTTTGGTACTAGGAATTAAACCTAAGGGTGCTTTACCACTGAAACCCACCCCCCCTCCGCCCCCCTGGCCCTTTTAATTTTTTATTTAGAGACAGGATCTCACTAAGTTGCTTAGGCCCTCACTAAGTTGCTTAGGCCCTCACTAAGTTGCTGAGGCTGGCTTTGAATTTTCGATCCTCCGCCTCAGCCTCCTGAGCTGCTGGGACTGTAGGTGTGTGCCACTGTGTCCAGCCCCTATTCTTTTTAACTACATATTTTAGGTTATTTTTTTCAGGCATTGCCCTGAGGATTACAATTAACATCTTAACTAAAACTATTCTAGTCTGGCTAATCCCAACTCATCTTCAGTAGTATTCAGCAACTCTGCTCCTCTATAGCTGTGGTTTTCTTGTCATGTTACTGTCATATCAATTCCATCCTTCCTTACACATGTGTGTTCTGCAACAAGTTCATAATTATTGATTTATGCAGTTTTCTTTTAAAATCAGATAGGAGAAAAAAAGAGTTAAAAACAAACCAAAGCACCATTTGTACCACTTCTGTGCTCACTTAGTGTTCACCTTGACCAGTGCCTTTGTATTTCTTCATGTGGATTTGCACTGCTGGGTCTAGCTGGGAGCATTGGAAGGTGGAGGAGGACAGAGGGTGGGGTGTGTTCCTACCACCCCTTCCTGTCTGGGCAGCAATTTTTGTGGGGGAAGCCCCTCTCCCCAATTTGCTAGTCCTGAGGTGCTTCACTATCCTGCTTGTTTCCTTAATGCCAAACACACTTGTTAAGCAGGCCCTTCATTAAACCCTCTCCTGTCACCCTACAGGTGGGCTGGCTCACGCCAAGATGACTCTGCAGGCCCCATGACCTCCTTGCTGACTCCAGCTTCTCATGACATAAGGCCAGGTGGATGTCTCCTTTCTAGAACTTACCACAACCTTTGCTACAAGCTCATTTTAACAACCATTTGATCGACATCTGTTCCCCCTATGAATCTGTGGGCTCGACGCAGGCAGAGAGCAGGTCTGTCTGGCTTACCCTCCTACAGCCTTTCTAGCAGAGCTTCTGGCCTGAATACATATGTAACATTTTTGTCTTATCTATTTCATGGAATTCTCCTGAGAGTCCGGGGACAACGGGTACAAAGGCTCTAACAATGACATCTCCCCACATGTCCGCAAGCTACAAAGTAAAACGGTGTGAGGATAGCATGGGGCGGGGCTCATGGAGACCTGGATCATCATGTACCACTATGTCACTTTGGATCAGGGACTTCTCTGGGCTCCTGTTTCCTAAAGGACTTTGAAAGCATGTTCTGAGGCTTTGAGGCCCTTTACCAAGACCCTCTGGTTTTAGGGCTCAAACCTGCTCATGGCCTAGGTTCCCCCTACCCCATGGACAGCCTTCTTCAAGCTGCGCTCCACAGCGCACTCTGGTGGGCCCTGAGGGACAGCACCAGGACAGCTTCTGCTGTCTGTACGGTGCTCACCTGCTGGACTCCCATAGGACCATTGGTGGAGCAGGAATATCATCCAAAACTTTGTCTCTCTTCTGTGAGCTGAAGCCTCGAAGGGGATGGATGTGTATACTAAGATCTCGCTGAGGTTTCTGTAGAGCTGGGCTGGCCAGTGCTCTCCCCATCAAATGGTATTAGACAAATCTAACACCAACAGCACAGAAATGTTTGCTAAACAACTACTTGTGATTGATGAGTAGGCATCAGAATGAGTTTAGCCTTTCCATCTCTTATTGTCACTACTCTTCAGAACTCCTCCACTCCAGGGTGTAGTCTCTAAGAAACTTGTGGGCTGCTTGGCCAACTCCTTGAGCTCTACTCTCATACATATAGGAACTCCTTCTTGCCTCAGGACCTTTGCACTAGCTCTTCACACTGCTGGAACTCCCTTCCCCCAATTATCTCTTTGTTCACATTCCCTCAATTTCTGGCTTTCACTTAGACGCATCCCTTGACCAGTCAGCTAATGTTAGCCCCAACCCCAGTCTCAAATATCATTGTTTTAATCCTACAGAGCCCTATTTGCATCTGAAACAATCTTTGTTGCTTTAGGGTCTGTCTTTCCCTCTAGAGTGATGGCTGGTGGATTTTGTTCAGCACCCAGCAGGGTGCCTGGGTGCTGAACAGGTGCTCAGTGATGTGTATGCAGTGATCAAATGGAGAACAGCACACAAGGAATATGCCAGAGACCACTTTAGAGAAAGTCTGGAGGTTTACTCAGCAACAATCACAGTCACAATTATACATGGAAAGTCATTTCTTCACAGAGGCTCGCTTTTCCAGGCAGGAGGAGAGAGGTTGGTAGTCTTGAGCTTTCTCTACAGAATCCCTGTCTGAATTTCCAAATGTTCCCTGCCTGGGACCCCCTTGGGATTCTGGTCTTCAAGCCAATAACAGAGCAGGAACCTGACCCTGTTGGCTGGCACAGCTGCGTCAAAGCCATTGGGAGCAGATGTTCAGATGACTTTGTCACTAGGTATGTGGGTCCTACTCCCACCCAGAGGCACTCAAGATCAAGTTTGAACTAAAACACAACTTGGACTTTTTCACAAACAGCATCAGTTGAAAGCAATAAAGAATTCCAGAACAGAACCACACTCCTTGCCCCTCTTCTTTCAAATCTTCAGAAAATATTAAAAATGCAAGGCCTTCTAGGAGTTAAGATCACCCAACCTGTGTAGCTGAGATCTGTCAAACAAGGAACCCCGATTCCCCAGTTCCCCTGTAAAGTGCTTTGCTATTCTTTTGAGACTTCTGAGACTAGAGAAATGAAGATTCACAGAAGGAAATATGGAGCCATCTTCTAGGACATCACCTGTTTCTTAGGTTGAAAAACATTGGGCACGTAGGAAGTTTGAAAAGGGGATGCCATGTGGGCTTTGGAAATCCACGTGCTACATCTTCAACAAAACTGCTCTTTCTGTCCTAGTGGGCCCTTGTGTCACATCTCCCCATCAGGTATCTTCTGCAGAGGTACCCACCCCTGTCTCTGAGCCTTCTTCCAAAAGGAAGAAGCAACAGTTTCTGGACTTTTTTCAAGTTGGAAGCTCCAATTGGAGGCACAGCTGGAATGGCTTTCATATATATGCTGCAAATCTAGCCAACTTCGAAGACCTTGTACTTAATTACCAGCAAAGATGCTCTTTGCATCCCAAAATGTTCCTGGAGTCCTGCTTTGGAAAGCTGCTTGGGGGAGAGTCCGCATGGCCACTATACTTTCTAGCCACTATACTTTCTTGTCACCTCATCCTCCAAATAGATGCTTTAGAGGAAAAGGGGCCCACATCTCAAACTGTTACCTGGCATCTCCACAGGCTCCTGGCTGAGTTGTATTGAGTATCAGCCGGGATGGGAGCAGAAGCCTGAATTCTTGAGACAGGTGGTTTCCAAAAATAAGGTCAGACAGCGAGGGAGGGGCTTAGTATTTGCAGTCAGTGGAATTGAAACAATCAAATCCTGTCCTCCTGCCCCTGTTACTCAGCCAGGTCTCAGGACCTACTGGAGAGGGTTCAGCAGTTACAAATGCCAGAAAGCTCAGAGGACACGCCTGCCCTGCTTATGGTGTGGACCAGGCAGGCTAGGAAGAGAACCAAAGGAAAGGGAAGGGGAAGGAGACTACCTGTGGCTCCTGTGTTCCTCGGGAATCCTGGTCCTGTGGAGAACTGTCACCCACTAGGAGAGGGGCCATTTGGCAATCTAGCCAGTACCCTCTGTACCTTAACCCTACGGCGAGGGACAGGTGGAGCACTCTGTTTGGGGGTTGGGGTGGGGGCCACAAGCATGACCCAAACAAGGGCCCAAAGAGGCAAATCAAGCCTCCTCTTGGGGGCTGCCAAGGCCCTTCTAGGGAGGCCACAGGCCAAACAAGTTGCTGAGCTGCCCTTGAATTTGCAGAGTTCATGCGATGAGCCGAACAACTATGGCCTCTGCCCTTGGGGGTCTCTGGGTCTCACATTTAAGGCCCAATGTCTCCTGCTTGAAATCAGACATCAAGAAACACACTCATCCCACGGGAACTGCACACGCCATCAAAAATGTTCCCCTCCCCCCACCCCTGCCCCTTTACGTTAGTCTAGCAAGGCACTAGGAAATGGTTCAAGTTTAGGGATTTGCTGTACATTTGCATTTTTTTTCTTTTTAAAAGGCACAGTTTTTACTTTAATGATGCTGCATCGCTCTCCCACGCTTCAGCTCCCCAAATCTACATGTTCCTGTCATCCTCTGTTGAGATTCCAGAGGGGGCCTCCTCTTTTGACTCCCTTCTATAGAGGGCCACCTCTGAAGATATAGCACTCATCTGCAAAAGGACACGTGGGGTCTGCGAGCACAGGCACCGTGCTGGAAACGGTCCTTTGCCAGTGACACACTCAATCTGGGTGGGGGTGGTTGGGAGGGTTTCCCTCTTTCCCCCTGATAACTGACGGCCTTGAGATCAGCCGGCATCTCCAAGGCAGATTCGTGGCTGTGTTCCCAGATTTCTGTCTTGGTTACTTAATTGGTAAATGACACATTCGAGTGACCCAAGTCTAACTGGAATACTGATTTCAAGTATTTCCTGGGCTAGCTGGTGGAGCCATAGGTTGTGGAATGTGATTTTCGTTTCTCAATCAGTGGGTGGCAGGCTGGTTACAGAAATGCCTCCTGTTAGTTTGGGAACCCTCTTCGAATCTGACATGTAATTAAACAAAGCGAAAGGTAAATATGAAGGGCTAGTGGGTATGTCTGGTTATGGGGCAACAAGTTCTTTTCTCCACTGCCTGGGGACGGCAGCTGTGGGGATGGAGGGAGGTTCCGGCCTTCTGGTCATTGCTGAGCACTGTACTGTACCAGAGCCTCTGGTGGCAGCTGATGGACACAGGTCCCCCACTCCATCTCGCCAGTGCCTCCAACCTTGGGTTCCACAGACAGTCCACGGGCTGGGGCTGCCTCGACTGTACCAGACCTGCCTGCTGCTTTAATCAGAGCATTCTAGAAACCACACTGGAGGCTAGAATTCCAGAATCCTATGGAACACTCTGGTTTGGATGAGCCGTAGAGTTCTTTAGAAACTCCAGAGTTCTATGAGAACTAGAACCACAATGAGGTCAGAGGTGTCTTGCTGCCCACAGTTGGTCGTGGAAGCTTCCAGCTTCTGGGCAGGGAGCACCTCACAGCACCCGTTCCTCTCCTGAGGCAGGGACTTGCCTGGGAGAGAAAGGGAAATGGAAGCGTGGATGGGGGAAGCTCAGCCTCTCCAGTTTGGAGATCTACTCGGCCTTTTCCAAGGGCCCCAAGGCCATCTGAACCAGCCCCTAAAGCTGGTTGCAGGGCTGTCCTGTTCCTGGGGAGCATTGAAATGGGCATTTCAAATACCCAAAGAGCTAGAGGGAGACAGCTCTATGTTCATGACTGCAAAGGAAGGTCTGGGGTCCCTTTTCCGACCCCAGGACTGCCATCTGGTCAGCGTTCAGTATTGAACACTCTGAGGTCACAGGTATGGCCTGTGAGTCACCTGGGCTTAGAGAAAACAGAAGCTGGGCAGTACTGGCAGTCACCCCCCGACAGAGGCAGAAACCCAAAGGGCCCGAGGAGGACTTTCCCCTTCTGCTGCAGGTGGGTGGCCTCAGTACTAAAGGCTGACCGCACCAGGCAGATACTGCCTTTCTCTAGAGCTTCACATATGAGAGCCACCCGAGGGCTGCGCACCCTTGTAGGACTCATTTTCGGGTAGCTTAGGGCTGCCATGGGATTCTCCCACACAGTGCTCCAGAGAACACAGCGGGGGTTGAAGTGGGCTCTGCCTTATTGTGGGGTCTTCTGTGGGGTCTGCTCAATACCTGACCCCATGACTCAGGGGCTGAAGGACCAGCAGACCCTTTGCTCCAGCTTCAAGAGCACTCTTGCCCTGACCCACTTGGCCAGCACCTTGCACACCATGGTGCCCCCAGACCCAGCCTCCTCAGGGAGGGGGCTTCATGAGCCAGAGGGACCTTCTGGGCCTGCCAACAGGACGCGAGGGCTCAGTTTCTGTTGAATTTTTCCAAGACTGTTGAGTTGGTATGTTCAAACAGCCACTGCTGGGTGAGAGAGGAGGGGTTGCAGGTATTCATGAAGATTCTGTGGTCACTTTCACTGCAGTCCATGCAGCTGCCACTGACAGGGTGGTAGAGGGTCTTGTCCTGCAAAACAGGGAGGGGCTCAGCCAGGAAGCGCTTGGGGACGCCAACTAACAGCAGCAGCAATAATGTCAACAAGTAGGGGAGGAAGTGACAGGCGAGCTGCTCACACACATGTTGGTCTCCCCCAGGGCACACAGCCAGATGTGGCCCAGTGCCCCCCATAGCTGGTGTCACCCCAGGCCTGTGTTCTGTCCCTGTCCCTGGGCAGAAGTGATGCATGTCGCTTCCAGACCTGGGCCCTCCACACGGTCTGCCTCCGGTCAGGTCTCACTAGCCCTCGTGGCATGGTTGTGCCTTCTTTTTAATGGACTCAGTCAATAGTTAAGATTTGGAGATTTCACATAAAAACCTGGATTTCTGACTTTTTCTCTTTTTGGGGGGTGGACACTGGGGATTGAACGCAGGGGCACTCAACCACTGAACCACATCCCCAGCCCTATTTTGTATTTTATTTAGAGACAGGGTCTCACTGCATTGCTCAGTGCCTCGCCATTGCTGAGGCTGGCTTTGAACTTGTGATCATCCTGCCTCAGTCTCCTGAGCTGCTAGGATTACAGCATGTGCCATCACGTCCAGCTGGTTTCTGATTTCTCTTGAGTGGCTGGAAAATGGGGCAAGATAGGTCTGTGGAGCAAGGGAAGGAGGGGCTGGGCTGCTGGGGGAAGCTGTGAGGAACTACATTGCTTTAAAACAATTTATCCCCTCATTCCCCGCCACCACCCGTTGCCCACATTCCCTCCCCACCCTGCGGTGTATCTTGTCTTACTTGGCGGTATTTCCACAGCTGGTTGCCCCTCATGCTGTGGCAGTCATAGAGAGTGACCGGGCTGGTGTGGGAGACGGCGTCAAAGCAGAACTTCTTGGTGTGCTGAGGGTCTCCGGGCCGGATGTCCTCTCTCCAGGTGAAGGTGAACACCTGTGCACACAGGAACATTACTATAGAGACAATAAAGTCTGGGAATTTTCTTTTTTCCTCCATTTTTTTTTTAATTTGGAAAAAAATTTTAAACACATAGGCCAAAAGAGAGCCAACTGAAATTACTTCCTGTTCTAATTAGCCAGCTTCAGCCAATCTTGTTACACTCTACCCCCATGGCTCCTTCTACCCACATTGTTGTGAAGTTCATTTCAGCTGGCACATCATGTCAGGTACACATACCTTAGCAAGCACCATCATAACACTTGAAAGTGACTACCGAGTCCTCAAGGTCATCAAGCACCCAGACTTCAAGTGTTCTTGGACTGCCTTGCCAATTTTTTTTCACAATTGGTTTGAATCAAGACCCAAACTGGGTTCACCTTGCATTAATTTGATGAGCACCTACCCCTCACTCCCCCACAGCTTTATTGGAGAATAATTGGCATACAGTAAATGGCACACATTTAAAGCATCATGTGATATGGTTTGACATGTTTATACTTCAAACAATCATCAGGATCCAGGTAATGAACAGATCCATTATCCCCAAAGTGTCCTCATGCTCCTGGTGATCTCTCCCTCCCGTCCCTCCTCACCATGTCCCTAGGCAACCACTCATCTGCTTTCTGTTATTAGAGCTTCATTTGCAATTTCTAGAATTTCACAGAAAAGGGTGCACACAGTGTGCATTCTTTTTTGTTTGATTTCTTTTCACTCAATGGAATTTCCTTGAGATGCATCCAGGTTGCAACTGCATCTATCAGCAGCTCATTCCTTGTTTTGCTCAGTGGATTTCACTGTATGGCACTTCATTTACTGGTTCTTGGACATCTGTATTGTTTCCAGTGTTTGGTTATTACAAAAAAATCTACGATGAACATTTGCATATAAGTCTTTGTAGGGACTTGTTTCCTTTTCTTTTGGATAAATACCTAGAAGTGAAATAGCTGGCTCATATCATAGATTAATGTTTAATTTTCCAAGAAACCGCCAAACTGTTTTGCAAGATGGATGTACCATGGACATCCCCACCAGCAGGGTACGGTTCCAGTTCATCTGTATCCTGCCAACCTTGGATATGGTCAGTCTTTGTATCAGGTGTGCAGTGATGTCCCACTGTAGCTGTAAGTTCCCAGTTCTCTAATAATTAATGGGTTCAACATTTTTAATATGCTTATTTGACACGCCTTCTTTGGTAACATGTCTGTACAAATCTTTTGGTCTTAATTTTTTTAAATTATTGTTATTGAGTTCTCTGAGGTTTTATATATTCTAGATAAAAATCTTTTTCTAGATATAGGCCTTACAAACATTTTCTTCCAGTCTGTGACTTGCCTTTTTATTCTCTTAACAGTTTTTTTTTTTTTTTAAACCAGACATTTTCATTTTGAAGACAGTATTTTTTTTCCCCTTTGGTATTGCGCTGTTGGTATTGTATGTAAGAAATCATTGCTTAATTCAAGGTCACAAATTCCTTTGCCTAAGTTTTATTTTAAAAGTTTTTTCAGTTTTAGGTTCTATGTTTAGGCCTCTGAGCCATTTTGAGTTAATTCTGGTATGTGGTATAAGACATATATTGATTTTTTGCATGGATATTCAACTGCTCCAGCAACATTTGTGGGAAAGACATTTTCTCCTTGGAACTGCCTTTATACCTTCGTCAAGACCAGTTGTCCTTGTATGTGTAGGTCTGTTCTGACCTTCATTCTCGTCCACTGATCTGTCTTTATGTCAGGATCATACTATCTCGATGACTGTCATTGTAGAATATTATCTTGAAATCAGGCAGTGTTTGTTGTTCAACCTTGAGTTTCTTTTTGAAAGTTGTTTTGGCTATTTGAGGTCCTGTGCATTTCCACTTGAATTTTAGAATAAATTTTTCCAATTTCTACAAAAAAAGTCTTCTAAAATGTTAGAATGGTGTTGATTTTTTTTCCTATGTTGCTCAGGCTGGTCTTAAAGAATGGGTTCGAATGATCTTCCTGCCTCAACCTCCCAATGAACTGGGACTACAGGTATGTACCACCCTAGCTCGCTTGTGTTACATTTACATATTGGTTTGGAAAGATCTGATTTTGATTGTCTTCCTTTGAATATGGTATATATTTTCATTTATTTAGAGCTTCCTTAATTTCTAACAATAATGTTATACAGCTTTCAGTGTACAGGACTTTCACATCTTTTGTTATATCTAGTATTTGATATTTTCTATGTTATAGTAAATGCCTTTTGTGTGTGTGTGTGTGTGTGTGTGTGTGTGGTGCTGGGGACTGAACTGCATACAACCCCGTGCCCAAGTTGCAAATCTGAGAGGGAAAAAGGGAAGGAGTGGACCAGTGAGGTACCCACAGAGGGGACCCAAGGCAGGTGCTGGGGACTGACCTGTGGGCGGGAAATCCCTGCCTTGTGTGTGTGAGGTAGGCACTCTACCAACTGAACTATATCCTTAGCCTGTAAATGCCTGTTTTTTGTTAATTTGATTCTTCAGTATCAGTATAAAATGATTGATTTTTGTATCTTGCTTGATTTTTGTATCTTGCAACTTTGTTAAAACTCTGTTATTAGTTGTTATAGCTCCTTTGTAGAGTCAAAAGAATTTTCTACTTAGATGTTCATATAGTCTACAAATAAAGACAGTTTTTCTTCTTCCTGTCTGGTCTAGATGACTTTAGGCATCATGTTGGCCACAGGTTTTTCAGAGATTCCCTTTGTCAAAGTGAGAAAAATTCCCTTCTACTCTTGGTGTGCCAGGAATTGTTGGATTTTCGCAAACACTTCTAAATACATTGAAGTGATTTTATGTTTTTTCTTTTTCAGTTTGTTAATATAGTAGATCATAGAAATTATTATTATTTTTAGTTGTAGATGGACACAATACCTTTATTTTATTTATTTATTTCTATGTGGTGCTGAGGATCAAACCCAGTGCCTCACGTGCGCTATGTGAGCAAGCTACCATTGAGCTACAATCCTGGCCCATAGCAATTAATTTTATAAGTCTAAATCAACTATGTTTCTGGAACACATTTTACTTAGATGCAATGTGTTATGCTTTTTAAATACTGTTGAATAGAGTTTTCTAAAATTTTGTTTAGGATTTTTGCACCTGTGTTTATGAAGTATAAGTTAGGGTTAGTCTTACATTAGTCTGGTTTTGGTATTAAGGTAATGCTGGTCTCACAAAATGAGTTGGCAAATAAATATTCGTACCTTTTCGGGAATTTTCATAGAATTGGTAAAAATCTCTTCTTCCATGTTTGGTAGAATTGAAGAGTGAATCTATCGGGGCCTGGAGTTCTCCAAGTTCTCTCCCCTCTCTCCTACATTCTGTTTTGTGAGTTCTAATGGCCTTCCTCCTTTATGCTCAGCTCTGTCCCCTCAAGGCAGGGAGTCACCTGGCTCCAATTGGGTTCTGTCTCCCTGACCTGTGGGTGGGAAATCCTTCTAGGAAGGAAGGTGGGGCCGTTCTAGGGCTCGACCTGACTTCTCATCTGTCAGTTACCATCTTTCATTGGTTGTTGTCTATCCTCCTAAAAACTGCCTCCTTAATGTCCATTTCCTGGCCTCTTCCAGGGCGGGAGCTGTCTTTTGGTTCAGCCTCTCTGTTCAGGGTGGCTGAGGGCCAGGAGGCATGGATCCCAATGGGGCTGCCATGCTTCCTGCTTTGGAAAGCGAAGGCTGGCCCAAACCCCGGGCACCCTGTGGTTGCTTGTGAGTCCTCAGGGTTGGCCTGGACTATGCCACACATTGAGGCTTTTCTGAAGTTGAGATTCATGGGCTCTTTTTAACCGGGTCTCATGCTCTTCTTGGTCTCTTCTGGAGGTAGGGCCGGGTGGAAAATAGCCACATAGTAACACTGGAGGAATCAGAAGACTTAGTCACAGAGGGCCACTACCTACTAAGAACTATGAAGAAAGGACAGGGCAGGCAGATATGCACTTTGGAGGGAGATGCGTGCTGTGCTGTCTGAGAGTTTGCTACGGTTTGGGTGGATCCTCTGGAATTCACCTGTTGGGAACTTAATCCCCAAAGTGTATGTTAATGAAACTTAGAGGTGAGGCTTTGGGGAAGTAATTGGATGAGGGATGAAGGTTTGGGACCCCCAAGATGGCACTAATGACTTTAAAAGAGGAGGAAAAAAATCCATGTTAGCAAGCATGTCTGTGTCCCCCTCTGATGCCTTCTGCCATGTCATGACCCAGGATGAGGTCCTCATAGGGAGCTGGGCAGATGCTGGCGTTATGCTCTTGGACCTCCAGAACTGTGAACCACATAACCTGATATTCTTCATAAATGACCCAGTCTGTGGCTTGTAATTATAGCAACATAAAATGGACTGAGACAGAGGTGCTGCTGTCTGTTCTCCGTGTGCCTACTGTAACCTCTTCCTGCAGAGTCCTGCTGATGCAGAGGACCCACATGACTAGGCTTTACTGTGAGCTTCCAAAATGCCAGATAATGCACAGAGAGGATATTCAAGATGTATCTTTGGCCCAGAATCAGCAAATGCTGGGTAGCTCAAGGGAAGGGAGGACTGCAGAGAGCTAAATGATGTTTCTTGAGAGTGGAGGCCCTTCCCACAAGGCTGAGTTACAGTCTGCATTCTCCTGTAACATCCTTGGAGAATGATCCCTTAGACAAGCAGCCTTTTCCCACCATCCTCCCTGTTTTTTAGGTGAGGTGGCCACAGAGTCCCAGGCCCCACCCACGTGAGAATCCCTTATCTCCCCATTGTGGCACTCAGGAACCTAAGGCATAAGAACCCCAGGGATTCTCCAGAACTCTCAGAAGGGGCATGCCTATCCACTCTGGGGGTTGGGGGGTGGGGCTGCCAATAGTAACATCTGCCACCACAAGGGATGAGCCAGGTTGAAAAGGAAGCCGAGAGAGGAAAGAAGGTTCCAGAGGGATCCAGACAACTTCATCAACACTTCTTGGTGACGTAAGCCAATAACTCCCTCTTTTTGTTGAAGGCCATTTGGGCTGGGTGTCTATCATTTATAACCAATAGTCCAGATGGATGGTTTTATTGTGGGGTACAGGAAGACCCTGTCCGAGATGCCGAGGAAACTCTTACAACTCGTCCCCTGAGCTGAGGACTGTCACTCATTGCTGGCCCACAGCCTTTCCCTCCCAGTCCTGAACACGTGAGCACTTGTGCTGCAGATGGTGCAGGGACCCTGTGGCCAGCCCCTGAGGAGTGGCCCTTACCTGCATGTTGTTCCATGCAGCCTCACCGCGGCCCCAGATGCAGCTCTCCAGCCTCAGTGGGGAGCCCAGCGCACCGTGCTTCGTGTCTGCACACAGCCCCGTGCCCACGTTGCGAATCTGAGGGAAAAAGGGAAGGAGTGGACCAGTGAGGTACCCATAGAGGGGACCCAAGGCAGAGGCAGACGGGCTTAGTTCTGAGTGGTCTTAATGAAGCTCACCCTGGGCTGCTGGCAGTGCCTAGCAGCTCAGTAAGGGATGCTCATCTGCAGAGGAAGCTGCTCGCACTGCTGAGCTCCAACCACATAGTCACGGTCAGGGAGTGGCCTGTGGTTAGAAGCTGCTAGAAGGACACCCTGGCCCGATCCCAGAGAATTTGATCCAAGAGGCCCAGGGGTTGAATTCTACCCCCATCCCAGGAGATTCTGGTATAGGTAGTCCAGGACCACACCTCAGAAACCCCAAGAATAGGACACAGAATCTTTGCCATAGGTCTTAAATTCTCTGCCTTTTAGAGCAGGTGAATGGCAAGAGGTGACTGGAGTCTACTCCCAGCCCCGGTCCGAAGAACAGCAGAGGTCTGTCTCCCTCAACCATTAAGACAGGTGGGCTGGGCTGGGCGTCTGAAGTCCTTGGACGCTCACTTGCTGCAGGCAGGCTGCTTGTGTTAGTGCTGCTCTCAGGTCACACAGCTCCCACCTCACCGCTGTCACTCCTGTGTGTCAGAGGGGTGGGGAGATGTGGCAGCTACAAAAATGCCCCACTTTCACTTTCTTTTGCGGGGAGTCTAGCAGCCCCACTATTGTGTTCTAAGCCCTCCACTGTGTCTTCCTGTGGGCTGCTCCCAGCTCAGGACTGAGCCAGACAGTGATGCCATGGCAGGTCCACTCCTGTGAGGTGCTGGACTCCTCTGGTAGGTGATTTGGCTCGAGGACTCCATAATAATCTGGCTGAAACTCCCTCAGCCATATTGTGATCTAGGACTCTTCTACCCAAACCCTCCTTCCTTCCTTCTCCCCTTTACAAATGTCAGACCAGCTGACCGTGGGCTGCTGGCTCTCCCAGTCCCCCTCACTTTTCCTCTCAGGGGTTCCCACATGTTATCTGCTTCTTGAAGGACTTGAACTAATGCAGGAGAAAAATCCAGTAACTAGGTTAAGAACCAAAGAGCCCAGGGGGAGTCAACCTGGTGCCTCCCTTAGAATACTGGTGGCGGTGTTGGGGTGGGGCTGGCTGCTTGGCTTATCAGGAAGGTCTCTCTAATTAGCTGTGTGGCTTTGAGCAAGTCCTCCCTGGTGCTTCTGCCAGCCCAGCATCAGCTCTCCTTCCTCTCGTAATAATTCTCTGCTTTTCTGTGGGCAACTGTTCCCCCCACCTGAAGCCAGTCTCCGCACTCTCCTACCCTTCCTACCCTTGCTTTCCCCTTGCCTGATGGCCTCAGCGACTGGTACAGGATCCAAGGATAAGACTTGATTCCTGCACTTTGCTGGCTTGATCGGGAAAGGGGCATTCGTTTTCTGCTGGGTTGGCCAAGCTAGGAGTGTGTCAGTCTGAAGCTCCTGGAAGTCACCCTGCTACCTTCAGCATGAGGCCCACATAAAAGGAAGCCAGGCTAAGCAGGAGAAAAAGAGACGGACATCACTGGAGACCCTAGATCCAGGTCATCTGATTCCGCAGTTACATCAGGCTTCCATGAGTCAGGAAATTTCCCTTTAGTACTTGAAGCTGGCTTTCTGAAAGTGACCCAGCTCTCAAGCTCTCCCTCTTCCAAGCCCCAATATGTCCATCCATCAGTGAGTAGGTGCTCCTGCCTGGGGAACCCAGGATGGATGATGGTGGTGGCATGTGGTCCACCTGGTGCGACTGGTCTGTGTCCTCCAGCAGAGGTTTGACAGACTGCCACTTGGACAGCAGCGCAGGCCCCACACACAGGAGCCTGTGCTGGGCTTAAAGCTCTGCAGAGGCTGTTTCAAAACTCTTAATCATTTTGTGTTTGATTTTGTAATGTAAACTAGATCTGGGGGGACACTGGAGCATCAGCACAAGCTGAGGGCACACGCTGTGACAATGCTTGCATCTCTTTTCTGCCCTGTTTGCTTGTAGCATCTGTGATGCCCGTGAACTTGAAGCTGCGGTGGACCTGAGATGGGCAAGACTCTGAGCTTGTGAGTTCTGCCTGTGACTAAGTGGAGGTGCTGGCTCTCCAAGTTCCCCAAAAAGGGGATCTTGCTACGCGTGCACCAAGGGCATTAGCATTCTCAGCCAAGCAGGGATGGAGTCCTGTCCCGCCCCCTCCTGCTGGCTCCACTGCCCTGTGTTGGCCAGCTGCTCCCAGGATCACCAGTAAGTAAAAGGCAGTGTTGGTAGAACATGGTTACCCAGAGGTGAGGTTTTTATACAGTGATGCCTCTCTTCTGCTAGGAAAGATCTAGGCACGTAGGAGGATGGAATACAGATCTTGTCACTTTATCCATCCCGAATATGAGCTGTGTGTTCTTCGTTTGCATTTAAAACTGGCTCTGTTGGCTGTGGCAGAGCATATGCAAGGCTCCGGGTTCTCTCCCCAGCACTGAAAACCCAACCAACCCCCACAGGCCACTCCGCTGGAAGAAACCCCATAAAAACAAAAACAAAAAACCCACAAAAAATGAAAACAAACAAACCAGAAACAACCCCCCCCAAAACACCACCACCATCACCACCACTAACAAAAAATCTGCACTGGATGATATAAAGACGAAAGGCGAAATTCATACTAATAAAGTTTTTTGTTTTGTTTTGGTACAGGGATTGAACACAGGGGCGCTTAAGCACTGAGCCACATCCCCAGCCTTTTTTTTTTTTTTTTTTAAATTTTGAGATAGGATCTTGCTGAGTTGCTCAGGGCTTTGCTAAATTGTTGAGGCTGGCCTTGAACTTGCCATCCTCCTGCTTCAGCCTTACTGAGTAGCTGGGATTAAAAGCATGTGCCACCACACCTAGCTTAATTTTCCTATACTGAGAACTCTAAATAGCAAAACAAAACAAAACACAAAGACAACAATAACAACTACAAAAAACAAGGACAAATCTAAAGAGAACAGGAAAGAAGAGTTTTATATTTCTACTTTTCCCAGCACGGTTTTCCTGTACTGGGTCTGAGGTTTTGCAATTTATGTAGCCCCCCACACTCACCTCCCCCCAAGCGGCAGCCGGGGGCTCCACAGGCGGGTAGAATTTGGGCAAGTCCCAGGCGATCTTGGTCATAAACCACCTGAAGCTCTTGCAGTTAAGGGCGCTGCGGAGCTTCTTCTGAGCAGCCACGTCCCCAGCCGAGAGGTGGCGGTACTCGGGCCGGCGCTGGTAAATGTACTCGGCGTACTCGTCCATCCACACCTCGGCCACGCGCTTCAGGTTCTGCGGACAGAGGCAGGGGGAAGCCTCAGGCTCGCAGCAGAGCACGGGCCGGGGGTGGGGTGCAACGGTTCCCGGGGGGTCGAGATCCACCGTTCTTATTTGTGTCCATCAGAGATCCCAGCTCTACCACGGTTTTAGGTCTTCTACACAGTCAGGGAACACACTGAGCTACAGTTCCATCCTACATACATGGAAGTGGTCCTGGAAGACTTGTCTGGTGACCGTGCAGCGTCTTAGTTGTGTGAGTACACTCTATAACGTTCGTACAAGGATGAAAGCCTAATGGTGCCGTTTCTCAGAGTATATCTGTCAAGCCATGTGCAACTTTATTGCTAATTATTATTTATGCATGTTTTAAGGATTTTTTTGGGGAGGGTACTGGGGATTGAACCCAAGGGTGCTCAACTACTGAGCCTCATCCCCACCCCTTAAAATTTTTTTATTTAGAGATAGGGTCTCGCTGAGTTGCTTAGGGCCTCACTAAGTTACTGAGGCTGGCTTTGAACTCCAGATCCTCCTGCCTCATCCTTCTAAACTGCTGGGATTGCCGGCATGCACCACTGTGCCTGGCTATGTTTAAGACTTTATGGTTGGATGATACACTGCTGTTGTTTTGCCTGCTCATCTTCCATACCCTACTATTGTATTGATAACCGACAACTTTCCTTTGGGGAGCTTCCCTTGCTTCACTGCCATTTCTCCGGCTGGAAGAAATGCCCATCACCCAGTCTGGCTAATGTGAATACAGACATTCCTGGATACAGGGATTAGTCCAAGTGAGCATGTGACCTAAGCCAAGCCAATCAGAACCAATAGGCATTAACTTTGGAATTTTTGCAAGAATTATTGGGAAGAATTGTTCTGTTTCTGCTTGGATTATTGGGTAAGATGCCAGCCAGGTCTGCTGGGCCATGTGGCAACCACATAAGCAAAGCTTATCCAAGGAGAAAGTCAACTTGGAATGAGGCAGAGCTGAAAGTAGATCAAGGAGCATAGTCCTTCTTGTAGAATTAATCCAGTCACACCTGAAGCCCATACTACCAGAGAACCTTCCAGTTCCATGAGCCATTTCATCTGCCCCCCTCTCCTTTATTGGTACTAGGGATTGAACTCAGGGGTGCCCTACTATTGAGCTACACCCCCAGCCCCTTTTAAATTTTTTATTTTGAGATAGGGTCTTGCTAAATTGCGGAGGCTGACTTTGAATTTACCATCTCCTGTCTCAGCCTCAGTGGTTGCGGTCATAGACGTGCACCACAGTGCCCAGCCATTAAATCCCCTTTCTGTTGAAACAAATTGGTTTCTATCATCTTAGCTAAAAGAGTCCTGTCCAAGTTACATGGTAAAAATAAATTATAATTGGCAACTAAAAGGTATAATCCCATCAGCTATAATCAGCAGCTAGAATTTCTAATAATCCTTTGAGGTTTGGAGGTTGCACCTATAGTTATTAGGATGGGATAATGGACAAAATGGACAAAAAGGAACAGAAAAACCCTACTGACAACCCCAGACCTGGAGACAGAGGGAAGGAATTCTTGTGTGTAACTGTGATGAGAATCCTTTATTCCAGTTGCTGTGCAGAGAGTCACTTCAGTGAGAATTGATAGCCAACATTTGAGGGTTTGGGGACATTCCCTGCCCCAGGGCACTGAGCTCTAGCCCTCTGGTGTTGCCAGGACTCGTATTCCCCAAGCTTTATCTCTGTCATAAGGTTTTTTCCCTACTGCAATCCAAATTTTCCTTTGAAGGGTAAAGCAAGAGTTAGCACTTTAGGCTGTTACAGTTATTCACACCTAAGTTCACACCTACGTGTGAAGGACTACTCTAGGAACAGAAGGAAGGCTCGGTGGGCAAAATGTTCAAATGCTTTCCATAAAGCACTGGATAGTCAATATTTTAGGCTTTGCAGACCAGATGATCTCAACTCTGATGCAGCTATAAAGCTACCAGAGGCCCTTTGTCAATGATTGGGTCTGTCTGTGTACCAATAAAACTTCATGGACAATGACATTTGATTTTCATGTGTCCCAACTTATTCTTCTTTTGAGTCCCACACCCCTCACCATGTAAAAAAAGCATTCTTATCTAGTGAGCCATACAAAACCAGTTTGCTGACTCCTGAGTTAAGGGAGAAGGGCACCGACATAAGGAAGGCCATACGCACAGACGAAGTCACCAGCTTCCCAATTTTGCTGGCTCCAGTTTGGGACCAGGAAACCACTGTATTCCCTTGCAGCCACCTAGCTCTTCCTGAGAGTTGAAGTGGGCTGGAATACAGCTCAGGTACAGGGTTTCCCACCAGGCCCCATGCATGGCAAAGGCTGTGTTTAATTAAAAAGCAGCCTACTGGATGTTGAAGCCCTAACAGAGCTTGAACACCTGAACAGTCTAAAATGCCTCCTGTTTCTAATTTGCTCACCCAAGTCCTTTGGCTACTTTCTATTTAAATCAGAAATGCTATTGCAGTTTTTAGACATGGCTTAATAAGCCATTTCTCCCAGATCTTGATTTTTTGTACAACTCAAGAACTGTACTGAACCCAAGGAAAGGACTTCACATTAATTTTTTTTGGCATGTCCCTTGTTGGAGTCATGTAAAGGACCGTAGACTGTCATGGAATTCATCTGCCTCATAGCCTGCTCCCCGACCCTTCTTAGTCCTGAGTTCCTCCTTGTCTTTAGCCCAACCACACTTCTTGTGCTTGTAGTACAGAGATTTGCCTGCCCTTGGAATCAGTTTCTACTTTTGTTGCATCAAATTTGAAAGAGTTTCTGCTGTGGCATCCCCTAGGATGCTTTCTCAGGGGTAGAGTCAAGAAGGAGTTTAGCAAATTTACTGAAGGAAGAAAGACTGGCTACTTGTTCTAGAGGCTGGCAAGCTCCCAACAGCTCGTCTTTCCTAACCTGCTGCCACCTCACTGCTCTTTGACTTTCTGGGGCCAGCAAAACCTGTCCCTCCTCCTGGCTTGATTAGGGTTAGGAATCTCTACTTGGCATTAGTAAATGATATTCTAGTACTCTCCAAGGCTTAGAACTTGGTTGTTGAAACACACAGCAAACATTTGATGTATCTGCAACTAAATGGGGGCAGTGAGGCACTATAATAAAAGGTTGTGCTTGACTCAGGCATCTCTGTGGTCCTGCAAACTTACACACAACCAGACTGGACAGTTGCAGGACTAGTGGGGAGGGGCTTAGAAGGAGGCATGGGGCACCACCCAGACGGTTTAAAGTCAAACGCAGGATACTGAGTCAGTACAGGTGGCTAAAAGAAGTTAAAATGTGAGGCCTGGCTCAGATCTGCCCACACCAGTCTGCTCGGGACCCAGGCTCATATTAGGCCCAGGTCCATCCTGCCACCAGAACACACCTGCTGGAGCCCAGCATCCGGCACAGGACCACCCCTTTCCAACCAGCAGACTATAGTGGGAGGTCAGGCCTGGACCAGATCTGCTCTGACTAGAGTGGGACCCAGGTCCAGCATAGGTCCAAGTTCATCTCCCACCACCTGGGAGCCCAAGCCTAACCCACTTCCATCTTGGAACACTGCAGTCATCACTTAGCCCTCCCCATGTAGTGGCCTCTACCTTTTTGACAACAGACAGGGCCTACAAGCAGCTGCATCTCAGAGCAGGAATTCCAAAGACAGTGTGAGGCCCATCCTTTCAGCCCCATCTCTGTAAGACATTGCATCCATCTTGGGGCACCTCCACTGTTATCTCGAGTTACCTCAGCTATTGCCATCATCACCTTTAGTTGCAGTAGCATACATTGAGGGACACCAGCAGGGTCTGGAAGCCCAGCATCAAAGTGAGGTACAGACAATCTGCAGGGGTACTACAAGAATATAGGATAGAAACAGTAATATCTCAGATCCACACTATAAGAAAGGAAGACACACAGATAACTTGAAAAACCAACCAGGATACTATAATAACAGAACCCATGAACAGTGGAGTTGATGAAATGTCAGAGAAGGAGTTCAGAAGTTTCATAATTAAAATGATCTTTGAATTAAAGAATGACCTAAATGAGCAATACCAGGCAAAATCTGTTTACTCCAACAAAGAGATAAGAGAGAAAATACAGGTAGCAAAAGATTACTTCAAGAAAGAGATTGAGACTCTGAAAAAAAAGTCAGAAATCATTGAAATGAAGGATATAATAAACCAAATAAAAAACTTAATAGAAAGAATAATCAATAGACTAGATCACTTGGAAGAAAGAATGTTCAATAATGAAGACAAAGTATACAATCTGGAAAATAAAGTTGAACACATGATGAAGATAAAAACCATGAACAGGACATCCAAGAATTATGGGACAGCATCAAAAGACCAAATCTAAGAGTTATTGGGATAGAAAAGGCACAGAGTTTCAAACCCAAGGAATGCACAATCTCTTCAATGAGATAATATCAGAAAATTTCCCAAGCATGAAGAATGAATTGGAAAACCAAATACAAGAGACTTACAGGACACCAAATGAACAAAATTACAACAGATCTACACCAAGGCACATTAAAATGAAAATGCCTCACATACAGAATAAGGATAGAAACTTAAGAGCCACAAGAGAGAGGAATCAGATCACATATAGGGGGACACCAATTCATATCTCAGCAGATTTTTCAACCCAGACCCTCAAAGCCAGGAGATCATGGAACAACATATACCAAACTCTGAAAGAAAATGGATGCCAACCAAGAATCTTATATCCAGCAAAATTAAGCTTTAGATTTAATGATGAAATAAAAACCTTCCATGATAAACAAAAGTTAAAAGAATTTACAACTAGAAAGCCTGCACTACAGAACATCCTCAGCAAAGTATTCTAAGAAGAGGAAATGAAAAACAATGATGAAAATCAGCAGAGGGAGGGATTACACTAAAGGAAAATCTAATCGGAGGAGAAACCAAGTCACATTAAATACCAAAAATAAACAAAAATACCTGGGAATACAAATCATGTCTCAATAATAACCTGAATGTTAATGGC